GCAAGATAAATCTCTTCTTATATAGCACTCCATATCATTGTAGCTGGTTAAGTCACAGTGAAGGAAATCGTTTTGCCCAAACTAAAGGCAAAGAGCAAGATAAATCTCTTCTTATATAGTACTCCATATCATTGTAGCTTGGTAAGTCACAGTGAAGGAAATCATTTTGCCCAAACTAAAGGTTAATCAAGCATTAAAGTAACAGAACCAAAGATTCATTTGTACAAAACAATACTTCTAGTTCCGAAAAAAAGTGGAGGTTTTCTTAGCAAAAGGAAAAGTAAATCTCTTCAGAATTGAGAAGGAGTAAAAGGTAATTTGGGCAAGATTTATTCAAAACAATAAAACAATGGAGAGTGCTTACAAAATTACGTTAAGTGAAAAAGGCAAGAAAAATGTAATGTATAACATGATTACAAGTGTGTAGCATGTATATGATAAAATAAGGACAGAGGTAATAGTGGTTATTATATAATGGTGACATGGTTATGATTTTCTTATCTACTTTCTAAAATTTCCGAAACACTAAATTGCTTTTATAACAACATATAAAAGAGAGAAAAAAGAGTTTTTTGAAAAAATAGAACAGTTTTATCTAATGAACAGAGAAATAGACTTGGTGTTAACAGATGTTATTTGCATGCACACGTGTGACAGGTAGGTAGGTTAAGTCCTGTTTGTGTTACAACTCAATTCAACAAACATATCTTGACTGTCTATTATTATATGCTGTGTTAAGTGTGGAAAATTCAGTTTACTAATTTGTTCAATGGTGATAATAATTCTTTTCTCCAAATATTTTTAAAATTAATTTATAATATCAATAAAATACTTCAAACTGTTCAGAGCATAGTCTACCTATATACGGAAACCCAGTTCTTAGAATTCTGCACATAGCTCTCAGCTAAACATTTTTAAAGGAAAAAAAAATTAAAGAATGGTCTTCTCTAGTGACTTAAGCACCAAATAGAACTATAGTTCTCAAATTGTATGCCAAGGTACCCTGAGGCACAGCAGCAAACTCTAGGAGGTACATGAGATATTTAAAATTCTTCAGGGAATCACAGCATTACCTGTTGGACA